ATGGCAGGCATTTTGATAATTATCATAACCCTTTAGTTGACTTCAGGATTCACAGAGAAGGAACATCAAAGTGAAAAAAAGTCGAGGGGGGGGGGGACAGAAGAGTATTTCAAAGATGTAAAAGAGGCAGACACAAAAGTTGAGTGAAAAAGGTGAGGTGAGTACTGTGGAAGTAGTCGAATATGACATACAGTGAGGTGATGGTGTTTTGAAGTCAGAAGTCAACTGCCGATTGATAGACTTGTTTGCCGTATGAGTATACGTTGCCCAGGGTGCACCACGTGGAGGTAAGTCTATCACACACCCCGTCATTAAAATATAATTAAAAGTTAGTTAGCGATTCCACCGACTTTTTGATTGCTGAGGGACCTCTGCACTCACAATTACACTTGCTTTCAACTTGATCAGTGGCACGTCTGCATTTTCAAGTCTGTTTGGGCGCGCATAAGATTAGTGGTAAAGGTGGGTACTCCACGCGGCTATTATGATAAAGTTAGCATTCAATTCTGTTCCAAATTTCAAATACTTCAAAGAATGGAGGCAAATTAAATGAAGGGATATTTTGCAAGGAATGTCAGATATTCTATATTTAGTGTGACCTACGGCGTAGCCTGCATTTTCTGCGTTCGAGTGTAAAGTAATATTTCAAGATTCCTTAACTAGAAACATTGTGTTAGTTGCGAATTCAAGTTATTTGGTAGAATAGGCAAAATTTTAAAGACCTGTTGTAATGATTAAATCTCTTAGTATATGGGTGAGTTCAGTTCGATTTGACTAGCAGCATAATTTTAAATGTGCAACCGGATTAACCTGCTGAAATAATGCAAGAAACTCGCATTGTCGGCGAATTTCTGATGTAAATCAATAAGTGCAGCGTAAAAGGTTGTTAAAGTCGTTTGACAAGAAGTTATCGCCTTCCCTACTTCTTATCGTCATGGTTTTCTTTTCCTTTTTTCACTTTGCATAACGCTGATATGACCTTAAATTCTCAAGAAATACTGATAAAATTTCATATTTTGAAATATTATATTTCTTGCTAACAATATGATAATTATATGTATAACAAAAGGATTTGAATTTATCGAGTTTCAGGGATGTTCATACACATTCACTGCAGTGGTCGTTGCATTAATAGATTTGCGAAGATAAGCACAATTTCGAGACATATATCTCGTGTACGTCTGTCACCATGAAAATTTTTAGGCCCGTTTTCATATTCACAGAATGAGCAATTGAGAAGTAAAATGCTTTAAAGTAAATTTACCTTAAACTTATAATTTGCTTATACGCTGGGGACAAAATATCCCGAAAAAAATAAAAATTGATTGAAACTCTGGGGAAATAAATCTGCCTCTCCCTCTTCTCGATTTTATTGAAAATTAAATTATGTTTATTTTCAAAAGACATCTCGGTGTGGTGATTGGCATTCAGTTAAGTACTTGTGTGTATGTATGCACAAACATATCTATAGCCAAAAGCATATTGCTTGTCAATTATTTTTAATAACCTGGTCTTAATAGACAGCTGTTGCTTATAGCAAATACATAATACAATTTTGAATACTCTCAATGAAATCAACTCTGGAGATGAAAAGGATTGAGCAGTGAGAATGTATGTGATTTCCTCAATACATAATAATCATTTACAAAATTAAATACCTAGACAAACTGAATATTCCACATTTACTAAGGAAATGAGCAAATAGGTAAAACGAATAAAAGTGCAGATAAATGTCAATTCAGAAAAGTTATGATTTTATAATTTCTGATATTTTGAATGATTAATGGGGTGGAATGATATAAAGTTTTATTATTCATCCATTCAACAGCTATTCATATTTAGACTATTGATTGAATTAATTTAAGGAATTAAATTATTTCTTTTTTTGGCACAAGGTTTTAGATTGCTATAAATTAGAAAAGGACCTAGCTTGCATCATGGAAATCGATAACATTCGTCCTGAATTTATCAAATGATAAATTATTATTCACATGTCAAATTGGACCTTCTAAATTAAAAAAATTAAAAATATACTTTTTAAATTAATTTATTGCATATATGTCATTAATTTAAATAAAGCGTTGTTGTATTGTTGTTTATATTGATAAATAACACCGCTCAATTAAAATAACGTCCCAGTCAGTTGTATCGGTTGACGCTAAGTGCAGTGTTTGTCCTATTTAACTTTTATATAGTTTTTTTTAAATTTCTATATTTTTCGCTGAAGCTTCGGACCTTAGTGTCAATGATGTTCAAATTTAATGGAACAATTTGTTGTAATTATTAATTCAATTTATCAAATCTCGTGAATCCATTTAATATATAATTTATTCACTTGATTTTGTTACTTTTTACTTCATTTCGACCAAAATTATACCTCTCAATTTTAAAACCATGTGTATTGTATTGAATATTTTGATGAGTTTCGAAGTATGCTAAAATATTGCTTCTCTCACATTGACTCTATAATCTCCTATGAATTTTTTTTCTTATTTATAGATTAATGCATTAGCCTGAAAAATGAATATTCAGCTTGATAATCTTAAGTCAAGTACTCTAGTCAATATGGAAATGGTCCTAAAAAAGGTAGCTATACGTAATTTATCATTATTTACTTACATAGCTGCCAGGAGATAAATACATGCTCATTGAGCCCGGATTGCTTAGAGCCATGGATCGCACTGTTTCAATGCATTTTCTCTCCAGCCTGGGGGTGAAAAAGATCTTCAAAATCCAAGAGTTACCCCCTGAGGCATCTTTTTCAAGGTAACCTCACCATTCGGCACTTATTTATTTTCCTACCTAGATTAGTTTATGTCATCTCACCTACTCGAAATTCCGTTCAAACTGTTCTTGATCATGCTGAAGTTGATCGTAAGGCGCAGATAAAGCGAACCAAACTGATTGCATTTGTCCCTAAACACGTAAGTTCCATTTTTGTATGATTATATGATGATGATGATACTTTAAGGCAAGAATCGTGGTCGCTTTCAAAACATGAATGCATACATTTTCTAGAACTGAGTTATTGATTGCTGCTGTTGGGGTAAATAGAATCAAAGGCTCCAAGTTGTCTGCCTACCAATTCGTTTAATCTAAATAGGTAGAATGAGGGTTTGGAAGTATAAGATTAAGAAAGTTGCTAGAGAAAACAGACAGGGACTCTAAAACGGAGTACAGTTGGACAGTCCAGTAATTCGAATGTGTGTGCGTGTGTGTGTAAAACGGCCAACATTTTTAGTGACAAAATACTATCAACATGACGCTACTGATAACTGATTAGCTTAGAGGTCTCTTTGCGCTTCCTGCACTTTATAGGGTATTCAGCCACACAAACGACCTCTTTTTATGCTCCAGCATTAAAATATTTCATACCTCATTTCGTAGATTACTAAGCAGGTTCTCGCCCACCATTTACTGTCTATTGCCTTTTAAGTCCTTTTTTATATCTAAATCTCAGGAAAACAGAATGATCTTAACACAGCAGATCTGAAATCTCTTGCCCTATTTTATTATCTCCGCATTGTTATTGCATTGGTAATGATTTTGTTATCGTCTTAAATAGGTTGTTGGCCCAACCCCCACTCCCTCTCCTCCTCATACCCCCATTAAAATCTGGGATTTCTATTGCTAAGGAAACTTGAAGAATAGTTAGTTATGGACTAGATCAGATTTTTAATTTCAATAGTTCAAAATGACTCATGCAAATGTCTCTTAACTCCAAAACCTCCTTATTCCCGGTACTCATAAGTATTAGTTAAATTTTGAGATATAGCCTGGTGCAATGATTTTAAAAAAAACTTGTAGTGAGAAGAGAAGCAAAATCACTAATCTCCGAAGTTTTTGAAAAGAAGTTTAAACCTTAGTTAGAAATACTTAATTAGTTTAAACTTTTTTATGCATCTCTCTTTGACGGTCTTCATTTCTCTTTAGACAGTTGCTATGAAATCCATCTTAGAGTCAAGTGGTGCTCTTGGAAATGACCTTCAGATAGCGGATCTCTCTTTTGGCTGGATCCCCATTGATGTTGATTTGATCTCCTTGAATCTTCCAGAGGCCTTCACGAATTATTTCTTGCATGGCGACACGGCCTGGCCTTATCACTTCGGACAGATGTTGGGTCATGTTCTGGAAACTGTTCTTCCAGATGGCCAGTCACCGACGGACATCAATGTGAGTTCTAGTTTCGAAGTTTCTATTCGATGCGAACCTTCTCAAACATTTAGAGTTTACCTGATCGTATTCGGCCCAGTCCAGATTTCTGATGTTTTGCCTTTACAGTGTATCTTAGGGAAGTACTCTTACCTTATGAGAGCTAGTTTGTAAACTGCTGTAGCAAATTAAGTAGCTCCTTCGAAAATTCTAAAATCTCACAGGCAAGAAGGCAAAGACTGGTACGTTTGATTAACTACTAGTTTTAATAAGCTTTGATAATAAGCAAAACGAAGGACCATTTACATTGAAAGTGGATCGATATTATAAACATGATGTTATTTGCATCATAAATACAACGCTAACGATCTCATTATGGAGCTACCACTTGAGATGAAAACATTTGTTTGGAGTTTCAGATCATGTTCTCATGAGTAACAAAAACAAAAAATCTCCCGCTTCGTAAAATAAAATAGGTAACTACTCAAAATATGTAGGTCACTTTTTACTTAGTGTTTTGAAGTTACTTTCACTTTGATATTGAAACTAGCAGTTATTTGTGTGATGAGTCAGATACTTACCCCAATTTTTTCGTATCCTTTGTTTAATTCCCTAGATTTCGAATTTACCAAATATGACTCAATAGCGTGTTCCCTGATGACTTTGACCATTATCTCAACTAAGCTTCTACTCGGATAATTCCCAAAAGACCCACTGAATGAGACCAAGTTCCCAGTTGTATTTTGCGCACAGTTTCCACCGTATTTAAAGGAGGAAAAATTTTTGGCGTTTCTTTTCTTGATGTTAAAATGTTTTTTTTCGAGATAGGGATCAGTAACTGAAAACAAAATGAAAATACTGATCAATTATTTAGTTATGTCAAATGGCAGGCGTTTTGATGGTTATCATTAGCCCTTTAGTTGACTTCAGGTTTCACTGAGGGGAGGAGGAACATCAAAGTGAAAAAAAAGTCGAGAAGGGGGTGAGAATAGAATGAGTTTCAAAGATGTAAAAGAGACAGACACAAAGGTAGAAAAAGATGAGGTGAGTACTGTGAAATAATCAAATATGGCATATAGTGGGTGATGGTAATTTGAAGTGAGAAGTCAACTGCCAGTTAATAGACTTTTTTGCCGTATGAGAATACGTTGCCCAGGGTGTACCACATGGAGGTAAATCTATCGCGCACCCCCTGATCAATTATAGATTTTTTGAAAGCGATTTAATTTCATCTAAGTATGGTGAGACTATTTGCCTCCCAGATTTTCTTACTGTTCAATTACTTGAGTAGTCCCCATTTCTTTTCTCGTAAACAGCTTCACGCATTCGGAAGTGCGGCCCAAGTCTCCGTAGCCGGTCTTAGCACGGCTATTAGTCGCATTAAGGCCACTAAATCCACCAATCCTGACATTACGCTAAAATCCGATGACCAAGACTCCACACTCCCCACAACTTCCCATCGTCCTCTCTTTATCCTCTTTAGCCGAAGTAAGTCGCCACTGAAATGTGCC